GGGGAGCTGATAGGAAACAGCTCCCAGTGTAGGAAAGTGTAGGAAAGCATTAAAAATAATATACATTGTACTAATTAGATCAGTAATTGATTTTGGATGTATTATATATAATTCAACCTCAAATAGTTTACTAAAAGAAATAGATAGAAAACAATATCAGGCATTAAGAATTTGTTGCAGAGTAATGAAAACAACCCCAGTATCAGCGTTCCAAGTTGAAATGGGTGAGATGCCACTGGAGCTCAGAAGGAAACCGTTAGCCATAATTTATTGGGCAAATATTAAAGGACATAAGGAAAGTTATCCTCCAAATGTTATGTTCCAACCTTGTCAAGAAAAAGTAAAAAATAAGAACATTAAAATTTTGGATGGATTCTTAATAATGAAATAAATGAGGTAGGAATAAATCATTATTTAGTTCGTCCTGTGGTGAGTATTGCTAGTACTCCACGTTGGTTAAATGAAAAAGCTGAAGTTGATTTAAGTTTATTGGAAAGAGGGAAACAAATAGAAAAGAAAGAGGTGGAAACTTATCTCGGAAAAGAATATTCAGAGTTTATACAAATATGTACAGATGCTTCTAAAATGTTCAATGATAAAATTGGGATAGCATTTGTAATTCTGGACTTAAATATTATGATGAATAAAAGAATAACAGATAGATTTACAGTCTATACAGGTGAATTAATGGCTATATTAATGGCTCTAGAATGGAGTGAGGAAACGAGAAAGAAGATATGGATTTGTTCAGATTCAAGTATTAAGTATTTTAGAACAAAATTCAGAAGCAATACAAGATATCATATTGGATATTAATCAATTTTTAAAATAAAAGAATATGGATCACAGGTTAAATTAGTTTTGGATTCCTGCTCATATTGGAATAGTAAGAAATGAGTTGGCAGATAAATTTGCTAAAAAATGCAGTAAAAAGGGATAATGTTGAGCTTATTATCAAAATGAGCAAAAATGAGGTCAAAAGTATAAGTAAAATGTATATTAAAAAGAAATGGCAGGAACAATGGGATAGAGAAGAAAGTGCAAGATTTTATTATAGCATTCAAAAAAAAGTTGGGGAATGTAGGAAAGGTAATAGGGATAAAAAAAAGATCTTATATTCACATTAAGATTTGGGCAGATGGGATTAAATAGTACTCTGAAAATATTTAACAAACATAGTACTCTATGTGTAAATATTGTGGAGAGCTAGAACAATACAGCATATTTTCATAGAATGTAATAAATATATCCAGGAAAGAGAGATGTTAATCAGAGAATTAAATGGGAACAAAAGTAAATTAGATATTAGAAATCTGCTGCAAAAGTCATCTGAGGATATAGTTTTTAACGGCATTTTTAGTTTTCTTAGGAGGTCAGGTCTTATGGGAAGATTATAGTGGTTCTACACTGACCCATAGTCCAGTCTGGAAGGTGGCGGTAATGCACCTATAAGTTTGCCAACTGCCATAAAACAAAAAGAAGAAGTAGAAGATGAGTCATTGACGGTCCCTCCTGTTAAACCTTATTTTCCTGTTGCTTCCCCATGTTATCATACTGGCTTTTTGTTTCTGGATTCTTGTATATTTGTTCTTCTCTGGCTCTTTGTGATTTTTGTAAGTATTGTTCATATTTTATTAAACATTCATCATCAACTCTCTGCTCCTCCTGCAGCTCCTGCAGCTCCTGCAGCTCCTGCATTTGGGTCCTACTTTAAAACAAATAACGACAAATTCAAAATGTGTTGTGCAGCTTTTCGCTTATTTTGCCAGTTTTCTTTCACATTGAAAAACTAAAACAACAAGGGTTTCATTACGTTTTGCTTATTAGCCCTGATAGAAAACCTTATTAAAATGTCTAGGCCTGAACCTACAGTTTATCTTGTAAAAACATGTTTTTCATGCTCCTCTTTTCACTCCTAAAATTAATGCACTGATAGTTATAAAAATGTTTCCATTCCCCTAGACTACTGCTAAACATTCTTTTCCAGTTTATTTATATTCATAATTTTTTTTAAATATTTGAACCCAAGGTCTTAAACTCAGGTTTTATAAAGATTGCAACAGTTCTTTGTGTTATGTTGGGCATGACTGGAAAATGACTGAAGTACATCCAGAGACTGCAAATGCACTGCAAAAAGTCATTTTCAGTTTTCAGCTTGCAGAAGTTTTACAAGGTAATCATGTGACATCATGGTTTAACAAAACTGCAATTTGTAATGGTTTCTTTCCTGTGGTAGCTGGGGACAAACATGTGAATCATTTTTATTGCTGCTCAAGTAAAAGAGCAACTTGTAACAACTATAGTTGTCTCCTAAGACAGTCTAAATTATTGCTAGTGATGTCACAAGTATGCGCCTCTACTCACCTGTTGGAAGTGTGGGAGAAACGTGCTGCTTATGGATACCTCGACTGAGATGGGCCTATACATTCTAACTCCCTTATTCGTAACTTTACAGAGTGTTTGGACTCTGCTTATTTTATATTTGATAATACAGCAGGTGTTCTAGCAGACTTTGTAAGGTGGGCGTAAGAGTGTTTATTAAAGGGCAAACACTGTGGAATTCCTAGTACCAGTGTGATTGTGAGTTTTTGACTGTCCTGCTGATTGTCTAGCACCTCCTCTCCATCCTGGAACATAACACGAACTTTACAGTGAATATATAACAGGTCCACAGAGTCCATACAAATATCCTGATTTGTTTAAATTATTAAAGCTGCAGTATATAACTTTGGTAAAACAAAAATCAAATGTATACACAGTCTAAAAAGCAAGACCTATTCTTACTGAAATTATGTTTGTATGTCTCACTAAACTGTTGATTCAACTCAAGGTGAGTAATGTACATATTTAGCCAGAGTGATGTACAACAATAAATTATTGCCTAAACTGGAGATGAATATTTTTATTACTGGAGTGAATGCTTGAACACGTGCAGTAAGCTTCCAGAGCGTTTGTGGACTTGCACATTGAAAAAAGCAGAGCTTCTCTAAAGGCGAGTCTTCAAGTGTCACATATGCCTTTCACATTTATTTTTAAAGGTTTAGTTTTCTTATAAAAGATGATACCTAAAAGTATTTGCTATTGTTCGCATATGCATATTAGGCCAATAATAGCTAAAACTACTTTAGCTATTGTTTCAAGTTATCTAAAATAAAGCTAGAACTGCTTTACTCGAGTCTTTAAAGTTTTTGTCCATGATAAGATCTCTGACCAACAGGGGTGCTGTATGGGGAGCAAAAGTTAAGGGCCCCTGATCAAGAGGGAGCCCTCCATAATTTTTGAAATTTTTTTTTTGTTCATAGAAATTAAAAAAATGGAGCCCTTTCAATTACAAAATTAATTATATTGTGTTTTCTAAAATAGTTTTTTGCAGTAAAAAATGAAATGTTACCCCTCCCACACCAAAAAAGAACAGAGAGAAGGGTGGATGATGTGAGCAGGGCATACACATGCTTGATTTACACCACTGAGAGCCTTCTCCTGGCTCTGATTGGTTGTTTCTGATTGACTGTTGTATTTCAGCAGTTAATACTGGGAACACTGGGAGAAGGTTACTATTGCAATCATGACAGTAACAGTTTTAAAACATGTCAATGTGAGAAAAGTTTAATTTAGCTGCTATATGGACGTCAATGTCTCTCACACCAGCACCCCTCCGAACCCCACTAGGGACAAGGGTGAAAGAAAATGGATGGATGGATCTCAATGCTTTGAGACAAGAGCAGAAATAGATCTTCAGAAAACAAAATGTAGATGCAAAGCTGTGCTTCCAGCAATAAGCAACAATGAATTGAGTAGATCCGAGACAAAAATCCAGAAAATATTGAATTATATTGAGGTGGTCAGTCACATGCCTCTGTTCTGATTCGGGCCACTATCTGACTGAATCCGCCTCTTTCTGCGGGCCTGCCTGTCTCTCTCTGTCTGTCTCTGCCTGTCTGTCTCTCTCTGTCTGTCTCTGCCTGTCTGTCTCTCTCTGTCTGTCTCTGCCTGTCTGAGGGCCTGCCTGTCTCTTTCTGTCTGTCTCTGCCTGTCTGCCGGCCTGCCTGTCTCTCTCTGTCTGTCTCTGCCTGTCTGTCTCTCTCTGTCTGTCTCTGCCTGTCTGTCTCTCTCTGTCTGTCTCTGCCTGTCTGAGGGCCTGCCTGTCTCTCTCTGTCTGTCTCTGCCTGTCTGCGGGCCTGCCTGTCTCTCCCTGTCTGTCTCTGCCTGTCTGTCTCTCTGTCTGTCTCTGCCTGTCTGCGGGCCTGCCTGTCTCTCTCTGTCTGTCTCTGTCTGTCTGTCTCTCCCTGTCTGTCTCTCTCTGTCTGTCTCTGCCTGTCTGCGGGCCTGCCTGTCTCTCTCTGTCTGTCTCTGCCTGTCTGTCTCTCTCTGTCTGTCTGTCTCTCTCTGTCTGTCTCTGCCTGTCTGCGGGCCTGCCTGTCTCTCTCTGTCTGTCTGTCTCTCTCTGTCTGTCTGTCTCTCTCTGTCTGTCTCTGCCTGTCTGCGGGCCTGCCTGTCTCTCTCTGTCTGTCTCTGCCTGTCTGCGGGCCTGCCTGTCTCTCTCTGCCTGTCTCTCTCTGTCTGTCTCTGCCTGTCTGTCTCTGCCTGTCTGCGGGCCTGCCTGTCTCTCTCTGCCTGTCTCTCTCTGTCTGTCGCTCTCTGTCTGTCTCTGTCTGTCTGTCTCTCTCTGTCTGTCTCTGCCTGTCTGCGGGCCTGCCTGTCTCTCTCTGTCTGTCTCTCTCTGTCTGTCTGTCTGTCTGTCTCTGCCTGTCTGCGGGCCTGCCTGTATCTCTCTGTCTGTCTCTCTCTGTCTCTCTCTGTCTGTCTGTCTGTCTCTGCCTGTCTGCGGGCCTGCCTGTCTCTCTCTGCCTGTCTCTCTCTGTCTGTCTCTGCCTGTCTGTCTCTCTCTGTCTGTCTCTGCCTGTCTGCGGGCCTGTCTGTCTTCCTCCATTGGTTTGCATCAAGTCTATTTTTAACACCAGCAGACTGGTCACGTGGCAGGGGGAGGGAGGACGTCAATAATGTTGTTGTTGGTGGGAGAGAGAGAGAGCGCGAGGCAGAAGGAACGAAGACTGTAAATATGGAGGAGGTGAAATGGTAGGAGGTTCAACGCATCCTGCCAACTAGCTTTACACCTTTCCGTGGCCACCTTAAGGAATATAGGATTCTGCGCTGGCGGAGAGTTGGGGGGCGGGGGTATCGTGCACCGAACCTCGGCGGTGACCGCATCCGATAGGAAGCGACCTGAGCTCCGCTGAAACTCACGGTACTGTGCTGTGCGGGCTCCAAGAGGGAGAGCGAGCGTGAATGCGTGTGGCGGTTCTGCGATATGCTTCGCTAGTTAATTAAATGTTTGTTTTCACCACTGTTCGAAGCAATGACATTTTAGACTGCGACCACAGACCAAATGTGTTGACGTGCACAGAAAAGCTACAGCTAGCTAAAGGACAGAAGCTTTTTCTTGGCACATCAAGTAACTTAGCAGCTATTAACCGGGTAACAGGACAGGATGTTTGCTGTTGCAACACGCTCTGGGAACTTTCCGTGGAGACACCAGCTAACTCGAATGCATCTAACAACTGACAGCCAAAGGTTATCCACCAGAATCTACAGTGCAAGCATGCAGCTAACTGATGGCAGCAATTAACTCTTTTGATGGCTTAGAGCTGATTATAAGCCAACATGTAATCGATCGCAGTCTAACATCAGTAGGATGTGCAACTACCAGCTCACTTCTTCAAGGAGACAGTGTAGGTTACACATGTATATATGACTGAGGTTCCTAAGAATCTAATACACAAGCACAAAGTCTTTAATATTTACTTAAAGCCTGTTTCCAGGTTTTTACTGACCAATTTCTGAAACCATTGTTTATACATCTATTATGCATGTCCCATTTAGGACCGGGCAGTAAATTGATAATGTATATTGCAATAGACACGTGATCAGAAAGCATGTCCAATGGAATGTTCTAATTTCAGTAAACTGCATCCAGAACCACACAGCACTCTGGGAGATGTAGGCCAAGGAAGGGCATTCTTCACTCAACCTCTCACAGACAGCTAATCAAGGTTGGTGACATCCTTGATTAATACTTAATACAGATTAATACTTTATTATTATGTGTTATAATCATATTATAATTATTTTGCATTAATCGGTAAACTAGCAACAATTCACTGACTAACTAACATTTTGTTTCATCACAAAATTGCTGTTTAAAAATAAAATGAATGGGTTAGAGTGAATGTAGAAAAGGAGTGCAACAGCATGAGAGGAAATTGTGCATAACACAAAAAATGTCACATCACCAGTTTGACAGTATTTCAGACATTTAAAACAAACAAATTAATAATTTCTGATATCAACTCCTATCAAACCCTTATATCATGGTATGTTTATGAAAAGACTAATAACTATTATTCTTTTCATAGTTATGCAATATGTACATATTGTTTCTGTCTTTTGCTTTATTTCCTCTAAAGCGTATATTACGACTTAATGTCTGTATGTTGCGAGTGTGTAAAAGTGAAGTCAAATACTTTGTGCACACAGTCTTGGCCAATAAAGCTAATTCTGATGTATAAAAATGTAAATTTCCAAATTCATTTAATTGACTGCTTTGTATTATGTCCCTTACAAAAATGTCTCCACCCACATGAATCTGTAAACATTAGTCATGTTAAAACTATAAATTTAAATATATTTTAATGGGACAAGTAAACCCAGACAACATAGTACATAATGTGATATGGAACCATATGATACATGGTATTACTTCAATACCCCCATTTAAAATTCAATGCTATCAATAGCATTCAGATACTGAATAACTGTGTAAATCAGTCTCAGTATAAATTCTGAACATCAATCTAAACACTCCATCACCAAGATGATGCATAATGGTAGCAGCAACATGCGAGGGATAGGGGACAATTCCCATAGAAAATCTATCAGCGACCTCACAAAGCTTTAAGACCTGGTTCACTTTCTTAAAGGACAACCATTCTAAAGTTAAATTAGCTTCAATTGAGCAAAAATAATTTCTACGCATCTGCAGCACATTTTCTAGCCATCATATTATTATTGTGTTGGAATGGCAAAGAACTATCTAGATATCTGTTATTGTATTTCAGCTACACAATACATTGAATTGTAATAATATTTGGAATACAAATGTGTACAATATCAGAATGGCAAGGGACAGCTTACCAAATATTACATCCAAATATTGGATGTAATATTTGGTAAGCCAGGATATTTTGGAGAAATGTACTGAAAATAACACATTAAGCCCCGTGGACAGACGTTTACTGTCCTTTTGTTATGGACCACTGGTGTTTGGGCATTTAGTTTGAAATAATTTCAATAATGATTATTTCTTATTAGTTTTTCCATATTTCTTGTTATGCTAGTTCTTGTATTTTATTTTTTCAACAATCTTTGTTTTTGATTTAATCATAGTAATTCCCCTCTCCCCCCATTGACCATGTCCCTAGATATAAACTTTTGGGAACACTGTATTTGATGGGGATGAACATGAAGGAGTCTTTATGAATATCTGACTGTGGTCATGACGTGTCATTTGGTAAATAATGACACTTTTAATGCAAAGTTGCTATAAAAGTTGTATTGAAAGTCCATTAAAAGTTTGGATTAAAGTGTCATAACATACAGCGAAGTTGGCAGTTCATGACAACAGTCATAGACATTCATAAAGCCTCCTTCATGTTCATGTCATATTTATGAGAGTGTCATATCAGTCTTATGCACATCCTATCAGATAAAGTGCTACCAAACGTTCTAACCTCCCTCCATCCATGTAAGACACGCTTATGTGTACTTATGTCTATGTGTTTTTCTCATAATTATCAAATGCCACTTTTTATAGTACCTCAACATGAAAGTTTTAAAAAATAAAACACATCACCAACTTCTAACTGTACATTAAACCTTTATTCCCATCATTAATAACAAAATATCAAACTGAACCCCTTTGTACCTGCAGCATTCAATGTTTTGTTTGTGTTTCTCATCACAAGTTGTGCAGTGCTTTGTCTGGAGACAAGGAGAACTTCAACAGTGTTATTTTTACCTGCAGAAAATACATTTTCCCCCTTTTTTTATTTTTTATTTTTTTTTAGCATTTTTATATGCAAAAAAACAACATTGGCAATGACAGGCAAGCAGCTTAAGCTCAATGATAACTACCTGATTAAATCACACTTAAATAAATAAGTGAAAAATATGCAATAACTTTAATAAGTAATTGTGTTAACACAAGTTAGCTGTGACTGGAGCTTGTAGTCAGCAATATCGCTTAGAATTTCTGGTATTCAAGTCCAAACTTAGTTTAAGGCGGTAAAACATATTGCTTGTGTTTTCGCTCTTCCACATACTTTGCAGATTACATTTTTCTGTTCCTATTCTGATTATTTTGCCTCCTTTGATCTTAAAAGACACAATCCTTTAGACCCCACAGGTTTACCCCAGCCACGTCCCAGTGGAGCTCGGGACGTGGCTGGGTAAAAGGTGTGCTTTTACCCTTCCTACTGTGTGACAGCTAGGATGAATTAGAATATATGTGTGGACTGAAATTATGTTTTTGTAGAGTTCCTTGTGATGACACTTGTGAAATGACGCAATGTAAATTGAATTGAATATTGAGTAATAGTATTGCAATTTTATTAGTTTGCTCGGTAGTTAGTGATGTCTGAAATATCAGCATCGACACTGGTGACTGCCAATGTTAGAAATTTTTTAACCTATCAGTATGGTTCCAGTAAGTAAACTGAGTTCATATTAATAATCAATTTTGATTTCTATTTTATTGTGTTTCTGGAGCAGGAAAGGGTTAGTCATGTGTTAATTTGTTTAATAAAAAGAAAACAATGGTAATCTACCACAAGAGTAGTGTATTCTAAAAAAAGATGTTTTTCACATATTTGTTAAACCTGTCACTATATTTTGACAGATAATCTGTAAAGATTTTCTGTGAAAAGAATTGAGCTCCTCAGTCTTCTCCCAGTCCTTCCAGAACTAACTACAGAAATGTACTGATCCTTGTCAGAAACAAGCTAAATATGCTTGTGTGTGCGCGGCTCACAGCCTCCTGGCTTCCTTTATTTTGAAGGTATGGAGGTAATCCAGTAACAAAGTCAAAATAGTAAAATGAAACCAAGGTTGTTTGGTCTCATACAAACAACCTTGAGATTAGGATGAAAAAAAGGCATCAGTGTAAACAGAGGACATCATTCATGAAAAATTGAAGGAGTCCAGAAAATGGTTGATTGCCAGTTTCATTGTGACAAGCAGGGACATATTCTTTGATGTCTTTATGGATGGATGACCACTAGAACTTCCAGTTGATGAGGGTGATGGTTTGACTGACTTCAGGGTGGAAAGAGAATTTTACTGAGTGAACCCAGCGAATGAGTCAGCCACAGATTCAGGAGGGAAAGTAAATCTTGTTAGGGAGGCCAGTACTAGGATCAGGTTCATTCGGTTGAGCTTCAGTGATGATGCCTTTGATTTCCCATGTGACAACTCCAACAGAACAGATGGGTGGAAGGACGAGAGCCAGGGTTTTATCCTTGGAGTCTGGTGAGAAGTTAACAATTACCCACATTGTATTTGCTTTCTGTGAGAAAACAACTTGAAGTCATGCAAGTCTGTGGAAAACGAACTCTTAAATGGCCTATAGTCCAATAATGGACATTGAGCCGTCCACCTACTGCTCTGGTGAACATTCCTGCATCCAACTTGCCAATGTCACACTCCTGCATAATTTGCAACATTTGAGGCATTATGACTTGTGACAAAATTTGACATTCAGGGGTGGCCTTTTATTGTCCCAGTCCAGGGATTGTCCAGTTGTTGCTAATTTTGTCTGATCACCCACTGGACATGCTTCACCCATGCACAAAAAACAACTCAGAGTGATGCTCCCTGACAGCAAGTGCGATTAAAAATTATACACAAATCAAGAGAAATGTTATTTTTGTACAATAAAATGTCAGCAAATGCTCATCTACAGTTGTTAACTCCACATGGCAGCAATATTTAAAATGGGGCAATTTTATTTTTGTTCAGTATAATTAGTTATCTAGAGGAGATCTTTGTGACAGCACAGCTTCATCCCCCCCCAAGTCAGAATCCTCCACCTCAGAAATAAACTAAAGGTGGGGGTTGGGCTGAACAAGGACTGGCACTTCAGAGAATGTTTTCTTGAGTTCAAGGAAACCTTTGTTGGCATCCAGGGTCCAGATGTAGCTGATCTTGGTTGAAGTGAGAGATGTAAGGGGTGCTGCTGTTTGGCTGTAGTTCCTGAAACAGTGAAACAGTGGTAGAACTTTGTAAATCTCAGAAAACATTGTAATTGTTTATGGTTGTTGGAAATGTGCCAATCCAGCCAGTCCTGAAAAGGTTTGGTTTGTGCATACCTGTTTGCCCTAAAAATGTAGCTCAAAAAGATAGTTGATAGTTTGTGGAACTCACATTTTTGTGCTGTCAGATAATCTTTTTTCCAAGAGGCATTGAAGGACGAGGTGGGTGTGTTTCCTGTGGGTCAAAATGTCATCAATGTAAACAGAGGATATCATTGATGAGATTTTGAAAAACTCCAGGTGCATTTCACACAGTGGGGTCTGAAAGGCAGTCTTCCACTCAACTCCCTGGCATATTTGATAGACATGGACTGGTTCAAAAGCAGAGAAGATGAAGTAAAGGGGGTTTATTTTTTGATTATCTGGTTGAGCCCCCTGTGATCAACACAGGACTCAAGGAACCCAATTTTCACCAACAAAAGGAAGCCTGCTCCCACAAGTGAAAATAAGTAGTAGATATTCCCTGTACCTGTATTCCTAGATTGATGGATGTACTTTTTTATGGTCTCACGTTCTGGATATGACAGATTTAAGAGATGACTGGACACCGTTTATGGCACAATCATACAATCGATGGGGAAGCAGAGAGAGCTTTGGATGTACTGAACACTTTTTTGAAATCCAGTATTCATCAAGGACATGCTTCTTTTGGGCAACTGGGAACTGGCTTGGAGAAAGGTCAAACAGACAGTAGGTGATCCAGCACTCGATGTGGGATTCAGATCAGTCAAAATGTGGATTATGTTTGCTCCTCAGCAAACAAAACCCGTTACACACAGTCAGTGACAAAAAACGCTGTACATTATAAAAATAAGAAAGACCAGAATATAACCACCTGCAAATTTTAATTACTTACCCAGTGAAAGCTATTGTTTCACCAGGTAAACAATGATGCATGAATGGCTAGAGGGCTGTTCACAGCCCCTCTAGCCCGTTAACTTCTCCAGCCAGTAAGCATCCCACAATGCAACTGTACATATAAAATTTATAGTACCGCTGTAAATTTCTGCACGGTTATAGCATGATCGGATCCTATATGCTATAACCGCATATAGGATGCGGTCCGATCAAATCCTATATACTTTCCATTCTCATTTCGGATCACAGTAAAGAGCTTTATTTTCAAAACCCAGCCACCTTATTGTAGTTTTTACAAACATTTGTTACAGTGTAGAAAACTGTCAAATCATCAGGCTTCACCATGATTGTCTAAGCCAAGGGTGCCCAAAGTCAGTTCTCGAGGGCCGGCATTCTGCATGTTTTAGTTCTCTACCTGGTTTAATGCATGTGGATTCAATGATGGCTTGTTAGAAGGTCTAAGAAGAACATTGACGTGCTGAAAAGGGAGCAAACTAAGACATGCAGGATGCTGGCCCTCAAGGACTGACTTTGGGCACTCTTGGTCTAAGCCAGTGCTTCTCAATTATTTTCCGTTACGCCCCCCATATCAAGAAGAAAACTATTCGCGCCCCCACTCCCCACCGTGACTATCCAGGTCTACTGCAGGCAGTATCAGCTCCTCTGCTATGGTGTGGGGCTTTTTGCACTGCGCAATTTGGTACGCCACCTTATATGATGCTAGCAGCGCTCGATGGTTTACTGAAGTAGCCTTCACAAAGCGGGATGACTGTTGGCAATATTCAGCACGTTTTCGCTGAAAAAACTCTAGCGGCTTACCGCCGTGATTGGAATGTAACGTATTTAAGTGACGCGCTAATTTATTTGGCTTCATGCTGTCCGCTGCGAGCATTTTTAGACAGCAAACACACCGGTCTTTCCTCTTCTCCAACTGTAGTCACAGTGAAGCCAAGCGCTAAATACGCTTCGTCGTATTTCCTCTTCTTAGCTTTCGGTTGACTTTCTGTTGTCTCATTATCTTTGTCTCTCTCCGCTTTTCTTTTCATCCCTGTTAAAAACTTTTTCATGTTGGGGGTATGTTGAATAACAGAAGCCATAGACAGAACGCAGTCGGAGCTTTTTGTTGACTTAACACTGCTAACCAAGGCAAACCTGTTGTCTTGTAAGTCGTAAAATGTTGCACTGTCGCAAACGTGACAGAAGTAACAATGAGAGCGCCACTGCTGCCTACTGTGCGCAGTTACACTTTATACTAGTACAGCCAAAAAAAAAAGCCTGTTCCCCAGGATCACACGCGCCCCCCCAGGTATCGCACCACGCCCCCCAAAGGGGGCGCGCCCCACTATTTGAGAAGCACTGGTCTAAGCAATGACATGACCATAACATAAATTTTTGTGTTAAAAAATGCCTAGTTTCTGAGAGACTGAATTCTGGGTTTTCATTACTTATAAAATATTCACTTAATTGTGTCACAAATGAGTAAAATGAATTCTGGGACCTCTTATATAAGAACATCTGGAACAGCAGTGTGTGTGCATGCGTGCGCGTGTGCGTGAGTTTGGAGAGCAGGAAGCCTATGTGTAAATTGTTGCGTATTTTTTGGCATCTTAAAATGAACATGTTACAGAGGGACTGACGTTACATCAGATTTTTGCATATCTGAAAGCAGGAGGACCAGCAGGGAAATTACCTCTAAATCCTCTGCTCTCTCCCGATCTCTATTTCTCACATTTGCTATTTGTTTAGGGAGGAGGTGTTCAGGTGAACTGTTACCATGGCAGCTAGACCCCCAGTTGCCAGGCAGCACTTCCTGCTCTTCTGCAGAATGGGAGGGGCAAGGTATTTTGGGAAATGCTGGTGTGAAGAGGAGGAGGTGGTAGAGAAATAGAAAGAGGACCGATTCCCAGTTCTGGGTACTTTAGCAGCGGTAGAAGAAAAAAAAGATGCTACAGCATTTCTTCCTAACATGAGTTTGGGTGTCATGTCATTAGGTCATTAGCATTAGCATTAGGGTGATGGAGCAGTTGGGCAGCAGATTATACTCAGAACTATTGTAACAGCTTGGATCCAGTGCGGTTTTTGTCCTGGAATTTTGGTTGTATGTAATATACAGATAACATATCCCAACTTGGTAAATCTTTCTCAAGTGCCCCATATGTTATATAAAAATTGCTCAAACAATTGAAGAAACTGATAAAGCCCCAAAACAAACAGTTGTTGTTGTTTAGGTGAATGTGACCATGTGTAAATCAGTGTTATGAGATGCGATCAGAATTTCTGCTAAGTCACATTGAAATTAGAATGTAAAAAAACAATTTGTTTATTTGTAGAGTTAATGAGGTGTGTCATCAGCATTATATAATAAAAAGTTTAGATCAGGGATCTGCCACCTTCACGGTCCAAAGAGCCAGGCTGCAGACCCCATGTTATATAAACTTGTGTGAAAAGGGTAAATGGCTGTCACTTTGCCCATTGTTACAGTTTTTGTCTTGGACTGTTCATGATTGACAAAATATAAAATGTGGACTGGTATATATGTTTAAAATCTCAAATTTTGTCGTCAATGATGTCAACAACTCTATTTGTAATTTGTCAAAAATACTTTATGGAAATAAGTATAAACTAAAAATTTAACTTTATTTAATGTGAAAAATATTAAAAAGACAGTTTAGTGCCATAAAGGCAACACAGTTAGTAAGCAGAGCAGGAGGCTGTTAATGTGTGCACCTAGTCAGAGTAAGTTATCTGCAAATACTGGATGAAGGTGACATGATGATCCAGATAGAAAAACCTTAGCGAGATATGAGCATTAAGTAGTTCTGACCAGAGTTTAGCCTGCTCTTAGGCTATCTGTGCATGTTTTGATATCCTCAAGGAGGATATATATTTATTTTGAGGATGTCAATGTTTGTCAATTTTCCAGGAATCCTTTCTCTTCACCATATCATTACTTTAGCAGTAGGTGGAGCCAGAGGACCAGGGGGATCTCCAGTTAGCTTCAAGGTACATCTTGTTTTGCAATTTAGAATCTTGCAATAAACCAAACATAAATCACAAAAAAGTTGTTCAGGGTTTAGTGATGAAATGTACCAAGGTAAATTTGTTTGTATACATATCAAACATTTGTATACATATTAGTCCAATTTCTTTGTATATTTACTGAGATATGCTGTGAGTGTGAAATCAAGAATGATTTGTATTAAAACAGTTAATTGCAATTTTATCTCCAACGTTTGAAACTAGACATGCATTGTGGATGCATGAAAAAACATATCTAACCATAACTCCAGGTTAAAAGTTGATTTTTGTTGTAATTCATATTTATTGCATGAAGCACTTTATGTGTGTCATGGATTACTTGATTTGTAGAATGTAATAACTAGGAAAACAATTTTTTCAGCAGACCGTTGTCCCTACATGCTCATCCAAGAGTGAAAGTCAATACAAACTGCTGGGTTTACTTAGAAACTTTTTAAACTACTTTGAATAACCAATAGAGCATTTGGTTATTGGCAACTAGAATCAATTGGAATGCATTTATGATTGAATTTAAATTATTTTTTTGTAAAGTGCAGTGAGATGACATGGTTATGACTTGGTGCTATATAAATGAACTGAACCCAAAGCGCTTTAAGCGCCATTCAGTCATTGACTGAATGGAGCAGCCACAGTTGTCCTGGGGAAGTCTGACAATTTTAGTAAAATTTTAAAGATGAAAATGAAAATTGTAAAAATGATAGTACAGGCAGCATAACAAAAATCTGTTTTTTGCATCCTATAATAGCAGTTAGCACGTATAGCGGTCCTAATAATAGTAGTGTTTGTATTCTGGATAGAAAGGTAGAATTTTACTTTATTGGACACATTTCCTTTAAATGATTGATACATATTGATTTAATAAGAAAATTTAACACCTTTTGTACTGCAAACTTGTGTTCAGTTTCCTGTTTGCTTGGAAAGATGTTCTTTCCGCTTTTAGTAGTGGAAAGAACAGGTTAATCTACACATTTGCCGATCTTTGTGTTGTTAGAGCTTACAAAGGTTTCAACAGTTGTTATAATGCTGACTAAGTGCCTGCTGCTTAAATGCAAGACACAGTAAGTGCTGTAAAATGATTCAATATGTTTTTGTGCATATTCCACAGGTAAACTCCACATTGAGGCCTTTTAATCTACCTGTTTGTCCTTTTGATGTCCAACTCATGGATGATTCAGAAGACCCACTTTAACAGAAGCATATGCAGGGCAGAAGTCCAGGCTCAGCCTTCATGAATTCATCCCACGAATCCAGTAAGTATCTTTCAAGTGGTTAAGAAATGACACCATGTTAAATCTTGTTGAAACTTTTTCCAGCTGTATTGTTAAATGGGGGAAACTGTGAAATAACCTGGTTATCATATAAGTGTTCACATTTAGAGAAACATCTCACTGTTCATTTTCATCATTTAGATTTTTTGTTGTCACACCTATTATAATTGATGTGAAATCACCTAAACCTGCGGGTACTTTTATACAGGTTACAAACAGAAATATCTTGTTCATTCTGTATCTATTAATCAAATGTGAGAATTTTAAAATGTCTTATTTTATTAGTTTTTTTGTTTATCTAAAATGATTCCAGACCAGTGATGTGACCATTCCTGTTTTATCCCCAAATTCCTCTTGAGCTGTTGTGTTCATTTTCTAATTTCACTGCACTGTGATATATATACTCAGGCATACTGTGTGTATTCTGTGAACTGTGCAGATTCTGCAAGCATTGCCTGCAGAAAATTCACAGTCAAGTGTATTGATTTCCCACATTTCTCAGGACAAATTCCTTAATTTTCCGCAGTCTGAATAGCTATTAGCAGGTTTGATGCGATAGTTGAATGCCTTGGCCCATTCAACGAGGGCCTTCAATTTAATACACCACTATTAAATTGAAGTGGCCAAACCTGTTAGCAGATTTGATAAGCGAGTTGAATGCTTCGTCCCATTTCTTTTAGACCAGGGTAGCCAGAACACAACTGTCAGTGCTGCATAGAGAGCAGCAGTCATACTAGTGCAGCATGAATGATCTGCACCGTAATCTGTCCAGAGCCTTTAGATATCGTTTTGCACCTATTGGAACTAAACGATAGAGTAGTGGAATGGTTATCTTCACCAATTAGCTTTCAGATTCGCCTCCCAACTCTTGCTTAAAGGCCTAAGTTATCTAATAGGAGGTTTCAGAGCAAATCATTAACCCCAAAGTTTAGCTAACAAAGAGGCACTTCCTGCGATGCTCATAGTAATCTGTGTGAGTATATTTTTATTTTTTGAAATGCAATGGCTACAAATGGAGAAATTGATTTGATATCAGAAAAAATTCAACATCCAACTGACTTTTTCTTAAAGGTCCACTATCAGACTCACTTGAACAAGCTATATAATGAACAAGCTATATAATGAACAAGCTATATAATGAACAAGCTATATAATGAACAAGCTATATAATGAACAAGCTATATAATGAACAAGCTATATAATGAACAAGCTATATAATGAACAAGCTATATAATGAACAAGCTATATAATGAACAAGCTATATAATGAACAAGCTATATAATGAACAAGCTATATAATGAACAAGCTATATAATGAACAAGCTATATAATGAACAAGCTATATAATGAACAAGCTATATAATGAACAAGCTATATAATGAACAAGCTATATAGTACGTCTTTGGGATAGGCAAAACATGGGCATTACATGTGATGTTGGCAGAGCTGAACAAACCTTTGTAATACCAGACTTCATTATATATTCTTTTTGTTTACTGTCGTATTTGTGACTTGTACACTTGTCTGGATATAGTGGTGCATTAAATTGAAAGCCCAGGTATCAAATGCACGGTCTGCCACTGATGATTCCTAATTTTGACATGAAAGTGATTAGTTCAGTGTAATTTGGTTGTCATGGTTACAGCTGTAGTATGCACACACAGACAGCACTGTGGTTCTAGGGGTTGATGCACCGCTAATAGAAACGCAGAGATGAGTCATCCACTGAGGCTCAGCATTACACACATGTACACACACACCTTCGGCTGATGTGTTGGAGACTTCACACGTAAAACAGATCCAGTCACATCTTTTCTGCCATCAAATTTGTTTCGGATCACAACTTATGGTGGGAGCACACGTCTTGAGTAAGCTGTGACAGCTCTGGATAATAGAAGCACAACAAAGCAGTTTAGGTAATAATGCAGCAGGGCACTTTCAGTTATCCAGTGCTATTTATGCTTCTGCCTATTTCTGTTTATTTGGACACCGCTACTGAGTCAACCCTAAAAATGCGCTCTAAGACGCAATGAGCTGTTTAGAAGATGAGGATGATGATGCAAATATCATAATTTGTGAAAAGATGAGTGACAGCAGCAACAGGTCAGCGAGTGCCAGAAGCTGTCAAATGAAGAGTTACCAAACTGAATTAAAGCTGCACAGCGGCGTCATGCGGCCCTCGCAGCCAAGCACCGCACCGGGGCTTCCGGCACTGCAGGCTGCCCGCCACCCACCATTCACCGCAGAAGCTGTCGCGCAGTTTCCGCGCCCGTCCACCAATCATATTGATACATTCGGCAGCGTTCACCAAAGACGCACAAAAAAATCTGGTACAGATCAGTGGATGCAGCGAGGAGATACAGCTGATGGATTGACCTTGGGGGCGCAGCGGAGTCAAATGACATTTAAATGCTGTTGGGCCCTGTAGATGTTAACAAAGGTCATACATATCCAGTTTGGACTAGCTCCAAACTGGATATGTTTGATCCATGGATGATCCATGTGTGATTTAGAGAAAATCGTATTAAATGGCGAGGGACTAATATTTGCCATTTTGCCATGCCCACACGGTCTCAGGCAGCAGCCAGCAATGACAAAGTTTATCATCATTTTATGTCAATTTGCACTGCATTAAATCCATCTAATTAATACAGTAAAAGTAAGACAAACAGCAGAAAAAACAGGTGACTTCCTGTGGGGAAGTGGGCGGGGCTAAAGTAATGTCGTCAACTGACCATGTAAATCAAATCAAATCAAATTTTATTTATTTCAGCAGCAAGGCATTTCAAAGTGCTTTACATCATGAACACAAAACACAAAGTCATGCATCATGGAATAAACAATACATTGTTCCATATTACATTTCAAATACAATTCTAAACAGGTGTGTTTTTAGTTGAGATTTAAAGGAAGTCAGGGTTTCTGCTGTTTTACAGTTTTCTGGAAGTTTGTTCCAAAAGTTTTGGTGCATAGATGCTGAAAGCTGCTTCTCCTCTCTTGGTTCTGGTTCTGGGGATGCAGAGCAGAACCAGAACCAGAAGACCTGAGAGTCTGTAAGGTTGATACAACAACAGCAGATCTTTAATGTATTGTGGTGCTAAACCGTTCAGTGATTTATAAACTAACAGTATTTTAAAATCTATTCTTTGAGCTACAGGGAGCCAGTGGAGGGACTTTAAAACTGCTGTTATGTCTCTATCTTCCTGGTTTTAGTGAGAACAGGAGCAGCAGCTTCTGGATCAGCTGCAGCTGGAGGATTGATTTGTTGGACAGGCCTGTGAAGACGCTGTTGCAATAATCAATGCGACTAAAGATAAACGCATGGATGAGTTTCTCTAGATCTGGCTGAGACATTAGTCCTCAAATCCTGGAGATGTTCTTCAGGTGATAGAAGGCCGACTTTGTAACCGTCTTTATGTGGCTCTGAAGGTTCAGGTCCGAGTCCATCACTACTCCCAGATTTCGGGCCTGATCGTTAGTTTTTAGTTGTAATAAATGAAGCTGTCCATTGACTCAAGATCGTTCCTTTTTAGGTCCAAAAATCATGACTTTAGAACTTTAGAACAGATAAATGTGTGGATGTGCCAAAACTTTCTCCAGATGAACAGAAACAAAACTAAAGTCATGATTTTTGGACCTAAAAAGGAACGATCTTGAGTCAATGCACAGCTTCAGTTATTACAACTAAAAACTAACGATCAGGCCCGAAACCTGGGAGTAGTAATGAACTCAGATCTGAACATTCAGAGCCACATAAAGACGGTTACAAAGTCGGCCTTCTATCACCTGAAGAACATCTCCAGGATTAGAGGACTAATGTCTCAGCCAGATCTAGAGAAACTCATCCATGCGTTTATCTTTAGTCGCATTGATTATTGCAACAGCGTCTTCACAGGCCTGTCCAACAAATCAATCCTCCAGCTGCAGCTGATCCAGAAGCTGCTGCTCCTGTTCTCACTAAAACCAGGAAGATAGAGACATAACAGCAGTTTTAAAGTCCCTCCACTGGCTCCCTGTAGCTCAAAGAATAGACTTTAAAATACTGTTGTTAGTTTATAAATCACTGAACGGTTTAGCACCGCAATACATCAAAGATCTGCTGTTGTTGTATCAACCTTCCAGACTCTCAGGTTCTGGTTCTGGTTCTGGTCTGCTTTGCATCCCCAGAACCAGAACCAAGAGAGGAGAAGCAGCTTTCAGCATCTATGCACCAAAAATCTGGAACAAACTTCCAGAAAACTGTAAAACAGCAGAAACCCTGACTTCCTTTAAATCTCAACTAAAAACACACCTGTTTAGAATTGTTTTTGAAATGTAATGTTCTTGTGTTTATGATGTAAAGCACTTTGAAATGCCTTGCTGCTGAAATATGCTATACAAATAAAATTTGATTAATTGATTGATTGATGAGCACAAAAACCAGATTGGAAAGAGTCAAAGCAGTTGGTCATCATGAGGAAACTATATAATTGTTTACACACAGTTTTTTCAATAACTTTGCTGATGAAAGGGAGGTCAGAGGTCAGAGATCAGTCTGTAATTCTGCAGTAGTGATTTGTCCAGATTTTTCTTTTTTAGCAGTGGTTTAATAACTTCTGTTTTCAAAGCCTGGGGGAAAACACCTGATGTAAGCGATGAGTTACTATTTGGATCAGATGAGTAACAATAACAGGCAGGACTTTCTTAAAGAAATGTGTGGGAAGGACATCCAGACAGCAGGAGCTTGAACTTAATTAACTTATAATTTCTTCTAAGGTTTTATAATTAAGTAGTTGAAATTGGGTCATTTTTTCTGTATTTGTTTTTTTTTTGTACAGCAAAGGTTCTGGCTTTAGAGTTGATGTGCAGATCAATCCTCTGATTTTTTGAATTTTCTCTGAAAAAAAACTGGAAAACTTGTTACAGGCAACATTAGATTGAGTTCAGGTGGTAACATCATAAGAGGGTTTGTGAGCCTGTCAACTGTTGCAAATAAAGCTCCAGCATTGTTAATGTTTGTGTTTATGACATCTGCAAAGAAAGCCTCCCTTGCATGTTTTAGTGTTGAGTGATAGTTACGTAGTCTTTCTTTATAGATGTCATGATGAACGTGAAGTTGAGTTTTACGCCATTTTCGTTCTGCCCTGCGGCAGAGTTGTCTTGCAGATCGAACTGTTTGTGCTTTTCTCCATGGAGATTTCTTCCCACTAGACACAACCTTTACTTTAATTGAAGCAATAGATTCAATGATATATAAAACTTTAGACTGAAAATCATCTACCAACTTATCTACATCATTACAGCTTAAGGGTGAGGAGGAAGAGTAGATTTGATTAAATGTTTCTGCTGTTTTCTGTGAAAGAACGTTTTTGTGACAGTAGCTGTTTGTCCAAGTTGGTCAAAGAATAAATAACTTTCATAGATAACAGCAGTGATCAGACAGTGCGACATCAGTTACAGAGACATTGGAAATATTCACACCCTTACTGATAACCAGGTCCAGTGTGTGTTGCTTGTTTGACATGTTGTGTTAAACCAAAATTTTCTAAAATATTAAAGCTTTTTTGCCCCTCTGTTTTGGGGTTTATCCACATGAACATTGAAATTACCAACAATTAGTAAACAATCACAATCAGTAAAGAAACTTTCCACGTATGTTGGAGTTTTGTATAAAGTTGGTGTCAAAGTTTGTTTTGTAGCCTTTAACCTGAATTCCAAGATACTCAAAAGAGGTGAAATGACCCAAAGAGATTGTACTACAATTTATGGTTTTCTTAAATATAGAAGCCACGCCTCCTCCTTTTTTATGTTTTCTATTCTCACTTAAAAATTGTAGTTAGGAGGCGCTGTTTCAATTAGTACAATTTGGTCATTATTGTCATTCAACCATTTTTCTGTCAGAAACATCAATATTATTACTCGGTGATGAAATCATTGATTAATTTTACCACAGAGTGATCTGGTATTTAAAAGAGCTACTTTAAGTGAATTGGAGGCAAAAAGTTTTTCAGTCTGATGTTCCTTTAGGCAGTCTGAGGATCAGTCTGAGGATCAGTCTGAGGATCAGTCTGAGGATCAGTCTGAGGTTTGAATTAGGACCGCTGTATTTCATATTTCTGTTTTTTGTCAATTTTCTTATCGTGACTCGGACAGGTAATGTCCTGTTCTGCAGTACCCGGGGGCCAGACACATTCTGGATGGAGACAGGTGTAAAGATGATATCTGGTCCCCGGCCTCAGACCTCAGAAACGCAGAGTGATGGATCCTCTGGAAAGTCAGGGGCAGGTTGCTTAAATGTAGTGAGGTCTGCTTTGTGAGTGCTAAGGAGAGACGAACCGAGGTGAAGCTGTTGATTCATTCCATCTGTAAATTTAAGAAACTCTGGTCCGGAAGACATTTCTTCATTGATATCTGTTGAATTCTGTGAATGACTGGAGGAGCAGAGAGGGAGGGGGGGAAGATGGAAGGGAAGCAGTCGCTCTGTCTCCAGTCGATTTATCAGCTTCTTGGGGTCTGCCCATAGCAATGCATTAGAAGAGCAGTGACTGAGTTGCTTTGCAAGTCAGTCACTGCTCTCCATGCATTGCATGGCAGGCACCTATTGTTCTTCACCTAATAGAATGCCTCTTTATTGAGGCCTGCCCATAGCAATGCATAAGGAGAGAATTGCATTGATTGAAAAAGATTGTCAGAAAAAGATAATGCTTCGCAAGTCAGTCACTGCTCTCCTTATGCATTGCTATGGGCAAGGCCCAATCACCAAAACTCTCCTAGCCTACTTTAGCATTATGTTTACTTACGAGATTCCCCAACTTTGTGTTCTGCTGCATTGTCAATATTTCTACATGCAGTTAATTTAATTGACACTAGTCCAAAAAGCTGGTTAAAAGTTACTATCCTGAGGCTTAAGACTTGTGCTGTGTTTGTTTTTTTCTGCATGTGGATAGAAAAAATCATGTCCATGTCTTTCATGGGACAAACTGTCAGACTCTCCAGTTGGACTAAAAAGAAAATATAGTCACATTCAACAGATTTGTAGTGTCAGTTTTATGTTGGTTTATTGAACTGGATTAAAAGGGCTTTATAACTGGATGACAATCAGGGGGGTTAGGAAGTATCACTATGAAACCTGAGTTCTGTCATAAGCTCCTTGGCACAACAGCAAGTTTGAGTTGACATGAACAGTTGCGTATAGCTTTACACTTTGAGTTAGGACTATGAAACCACAGAAACACAAAAGATGACTCAATTTCATAATTAATGGATCATCTTTGAGAAGTGCAGTGGAGAGGAATGACCGAACTAAATGCAACCCCCTCCACCACTGAACTCCAGAGCAGAGCTGGACGTAGAACTCTCTCTCTGCCTCTGTCTATTTTTATCTATGGCTCCTCCTCCACTACAGCATACTATTTTCAGCCACAATCCTTCCATCAAACACCATCTCCTGGGTTTCTCTTCATCCTCTGGACGGTCTTCAATTGTCCATGTCTCCTTCATCATCTTCTGACCCTTCCTGAAAAGAAACAAGTTGTTGTCTGTATAACTTCCCTAGTGATCCACTTTCAGCCACCGCTCTCTCTCTATATCTCTCTTTATCTCTCTCGCATTCAGTCTCCTCCCTCCATTTAGCTCTCACAGTTCATTCACCAGCTCAGAGAGCGTCACAGACACCCGCATACACAGCAGGCTGTACGCGTTAGCCTCCTGAACGGTTTAGATCGACTCTTTCTGCAGATTTTTAGGGGACGGATCAGGATTCTCCACTGCTCTTCTCTAACGAAGCTGTCCTGTTCTGCTTCCATCCTGTTTTGCTCTCTCTGCCTTTTTCTCAGAGCTTCGTTCTAATTTTGGAAATATGGAACCTCAAGGAGTGCTCTCCCGAATCTATTTACATCCTTGCTGCTCTTCCTCCCCTTCATACTCCTCCTCTTCTCTCAATCTTGTCAGCCAGGAGGTGAAAAGTGAGACGATCCATTGATGTGACAGAAAACTCGGCTTCTTCTTTGTCTGGACATTTTTTGGTTGTTCAGCTCACAGAATTGCCCAGCAGGATGGAGATTACGCAGCGCTAGATGGTTTCTGTCTGTTGGGATTTTGGACTCCAAGCCGCCACTGCAACAGAAGAAACAAACTTCTTTTCCTGAGCTGACAGGTACCTGACAAAGTGTTTCGGTTTTCTGGAGCCAGCAGAGGACTTAAGAAGATCTATGCAAGCTTGGTGTTTTCTCATCTACTTGGACTCAAATCCCTCAATCCCATTGGAGAGGAGACTTCTTGGAACTCACACCTACTATGACAGAGAAGAGGATTTTAATCAAGGTGATACTGGCCGGTTAGTACAATTGAAACTGAACAGCCACTGAAGCTCTGAGAAAATTTGCAATCTCTACCAAGACTGGATTACACAATAAAAACTTTTTAGAGTATTTATTCACACTTAACAGGACAATTTACAGAGTTTATATATATGTATTTTTTTTTACAATTTGTGGCAGACAGTTCTTCCTAAGCTATGCTGGTACCTCTAAAGACCAGACATTTTTTCTTTTCACAAACTTAAGCAGCAGCTCTTGTCCTGGCATGCTGTTACATCCCACCATGTCAGGATTGTGCACCATGCTGCAGACCATCTACGAGACTGAGTCGTGTTTTTCCTCTGCCAGCACAGACAGCCACCACCAGCCTCTGGAGCTCCTGAGTGACAGCAGGGGCTCCGGTGCTGACATGACCGCTGCTGGTGAGTCATCTCTGGGAAGGCAGAGGTGGGGCTGTGGTTGGATGAAATTAATAAGTAATTTGGTCTTTCTGTAAGCAAGCATATTTAATATGTGGGTTTAGGAATTGTTTGGATGTTTTGTTTATTGAATAAGATTGGAGCATGGAGCTGGTTGGTAGTGCTCTAAAAGAGAATGGGAGATTGGCAGGAGCTGTAAAGCTAACATACTCTGTGAAGTAGACAGGTGAGGATGTACAGGTGATGATGTAGAGTTTCAAATTTGTAGTATGATTTGCATTTGCCCTCTATGCTGAACCAAAGAGGGCTGAACCCCAAACAGGGGTTTTGCTTTAAAAAGCATTAAAGCAAAAAAACCCAAAAAATATTTTTGTGTTTTCTGGATAAAAAAATCTTTCAACCAATTGTCTTCAGGTGTGACCTATTTTATTTTTTTTTGTAAACAATATATATCTATATAAAGTAACATTCCCTATACTCTGAGCACATCATCCACAACAAACCATGAGGGTGGTGGCAGCAGGCTGTTTGAATTCTACTTTAAGAGACAGTTGCTGGTCAGGGTTAATGGGAAGATTAATGGAGCTAAATGCATGGCAATGAGGCAAGAAACCGTGTTAGGCCTTCAAAAGACATATTCCCTTGACCTGGGGGGCCCAAACTAAGATCTAGTTTTTCTCTCACCTGCACGACACAAAGATATAAAAAATTGTAAATGAAATAAGTTTTCATTTACAAATAAAAAAATTGCAAGTTTTAAATGCGAATATACATCAGTTATAGCAATAGAAAATCTAATCCAGTTTCTTCCTCTGTGAGATTCTGACACTGGGAGGAGGTTTCTGGTTTTTCAGTCAGGCAAACCTAAGGCCAGCAGGTTTCAATTATGGTGTCCCAGACAAAGAAATAATTTAACGTTTAGATTTAAGACTGTTAAACACTTTTGGTCTGATTATTTGCTTATGTGTTGGAGGCTGTTAGATTGTAAAATCTCAAGGTAAAGAAAATCCAACAATGCACCATTGGTGGTGCTCTTGCTGTGCACAAGAAAGGTGAACTGAACCTGTGAAGAAAAGTTTTTTCCTCATTCGAAAATAAACATTGCCATGCGCTACTTCCAGTTATCTGCTTAACATTTTTTTTTTGACCTAGTGTGTTATATACAACATCAATCAGCTATGGTAGATCTGAAATGAAGTTTGATGACCTCAATATGAGAAGCTGCAGACTGACAGGGGGGGTCAAAGTGAACTGTTAAAAGCACGTCTTCTGAAGTTGATTTATTTTTCCCAGAAGAGGATGTGCTGATCTCAAACACCTGGTGGCGTTCAGTTTGTCACCTACTGCAGAGATCGAATCAAAACCTTCCTGCGATCAGGGAACGGAGACGTACATACAAAGCTCAAATGGCAATATTTGTACCCATGCATGTTCGTGTGCACATGAATGATCCAGTTTAAGTCCAGACCTCAATCAAATAGAGAATTTTTGACAAAACCTGAAATTAGATGGACTTTATTTCCTAGTTCTGTGGCATCTGAATGTATATGGTCGCTCTGGATTATATTTACAAGATTACAGATACTGACAAGAACAACATTAGAAACTGTGAGTATGTGTATGAACCAGGATTTTATATCCTTGTGGGGACCTATTTCTGTCTACATTGTGGGGACAAAGTCTGGCCCCCATCAGGAGAAATGTGTTTTTTGAGTTAGGGATTAGGTATGTGATAGACAGGATTAGGGGCTGGTAGTGTCGCTATAGTGAACATGAGAAAAATAGCTTGTTACTGGCACACTCATAGTTACTGATGGATAAAAACTTCAGTAAAATGAGTCTGTGCAAAGGAAAATAAATGAATAAAAACACAAATAAATCACACAAATCACAATTTAAATGTGAAGTTTTTTTCTTTCTTATTGTGAAAAGATAACTCATGCATTTATCAGACATTATGTGAACATTTTCTGATTTCTTATTTTGCAAAACTCTGACATTAGCAAGTTCACGTTTTCTTTTAAACACAACATAAAACAATCCAAAATCAATTTGTGTGCTTTCTGAATAAATTGGAATTGTAATTGACTCCCCAATATATGTAGAATAAAACAAGGTGATTTTCACCATTTCAATAGGCATCACAGATGCACATTTTGAGGTATTGCAGTAGAAAAGGCTCATGAAAATGGAAGAATTTGAAGAAACTTCCTCGGGTTTCTCAAAAGTGTTTTTACCTGCTTGAGGTGGTTTTTGGCTTTTGTGAAGAAGAGTTAATGCACTGGAAGGGAGATGGAAACATATTTACCGGATAAGTTCTGATGATTCAAACATTTATCTCGCATGACTGATCAGCTGATTCCACTTTTGGAATTATTAGAATTGCATTTCTTTCTCTGGATCAGCATGTAACTTTGCCAATGCTAGTTGACATAACAGACCAATTAAAAGTTCTAACTTAAAATAAAAAGTCTAAGAAGACACATGTTGGTTTGAGCATGTCTTAATGTGTGTGGATGATGGTTCTGATTTCTGATTTCACACAGAATAGGATTGAATATACTTTATTGTTCCCCAAGGGGAAATTGCTTATTTGTTGAAAGCTACTCCATTTTCGGTAATAAATACAAAGTTTGTAAAATGGGTAGGAATGCCAACAGTTACCACGACAAAATGGGAATATTCACGGGGCAAGTAAAGCGGACAAAGACCAACCGCGAACAGCAGCAGATTCTCTCCTTCACCGTTATATGAGCAGGATTGTGGTTGTTTTCTAGAAGGACAAGCTCACCTCCTTTCTGCTTACCTCTCTCAGTGCAATCCCCATCAGCCTGAACACACCGGTAGCACTCGATGGTAACACAGCATCAGGAATGTCTGGGTGCAGCCATGTCTCCGTAAAACACATCGACCTAACTTTTCCCATGGTAACAAAGGGGAGAAACAACAGATGCACCTCTTAAAGTGTGACTGAGTGCAAAACTAAGCTTATAGCTTCTCTTCTCCATAAGACTGTTGTTTCTTCCTTTTTGCTCTCCTCCATTGTTTCCTCCTCTGCAAACCTGATGTGTCCTTCTCCAGATCTCCTTGGGGATTTCACTGGATCTGGACTCCATGCCAGCCTGTTTCAGCTCAATAAGCTGATCTCCGGTGTAAACAATGTGGCCAAGTTGTTGTGCTTGGTAGAGTATAAAAAGTATCTTGGCAACGAATAAAAAGATAATGACTTTCTTAGTCGACATTGTTGAAGATGTGCTAACCCCTTGCGCCACTACAGCATGCCCCACGTTTGGAGGCCTGGGTCCTCGATGCGGACGTCACAGATTCGACTTCCGGACCTGGCGACCTTTGCCACATGTCTTCCCCCCTCTCCTTGCCCTCTTAACTGTCAGTCGACTGTCAAAAAAAATGTGAGCCACTAGCGGCGCTAAAAAATCTTCGGAGAAAAAAAAGAAAAAAAAAACCATTACTGAAGATACTTTTCTGGCAAAGTGAAATAATTAAAGTGAAAAAATATTTAAAAAGTGAAACAATGAGAGGAGTAACTGGCTGCATAGACTTTAGTGCATGTGCACTGCACAGATAAGATACACATACCAGGTGTTCTGCCCTTTAATTTGTTGTAAAGTAGGTTTTTAGTATTAATTTTGTGTCTGTACATTGAGTCTTTTATTTTGAAGTTCAGGAATGGGGCAGGAAATCAGCCACTTCGTTTAGTTTTGCACTCAGTCACACTTTAAGAGGTGCATCTGTTGTAATCAGCTTTTCGTTTGTGCCATTGGACAACAATGCACAGATTCTTCTCCTGCTTGGTAGGGACATTCTCCGTGTTCACAAGGTGAGACAGTCCAGGCCATGCTCCTTTTGCACAAAGGCTTGATCTCGGATGGGTGGTGATAGGTGATGTGTGTTTTGGAAAGGTCCATAAGCCTTTTGTCCATAACTGTCAAATCAAATCAAATTTTATTTGTATAGCTCATTTCAGCAGCAAGGCATTTCAAAGTGCTTTACATCATGAACACAAAACACAAAGTCATGCATCATGGAATAAACAATACATTGTTACATATTACATTTCAAATACAATTCTAAACAGGTGTGTTTTTAGTTGAGATTTAAAGGAAGTCAGGGTTTCTGCTGTTTTACAGTTTTCTGGAAGTTTGTTCCAAAAGTTTTGGTGCATAGATGCTGAAAGCTGCTTCTCCTCTCTTGGTTCTGGTTCTGGGGATGCAGAGCAGAACCAGAACCAGAAGACCTGAGAGTCTGGAAGGTTGATACAACAACAGCAGATCTTTAATGTATTGTGGTGCTAAACCGTTCAGTGATTTGTAAACTAACAACAGTATTTTAAAATCTATTCTTTGAGCTACAGGGAGCCAGTGGAGGGACTTTAAAACTGCTGTTATGTCTCTATCTTCCTGGTTTTAGTGAGAACAGGAGCAGCAGCTTCTGGATCAGCTGCAGCTGGAGGATTGATTTGTTGGACAGGCCTGTGAAGACGCTGTTACAATAATCAATGCGACTAAAGATAAACGCATGGATGAGTTTCTCTAGATCTGGCTGAGACATTAGTCCTCTAATCCTGGAGATGTTCTTCAGGTGATAGAAGGCCGACTTTGTAACTGTCTTAATGTGCCTCTGAAGGTTCAGGTCCGAGTCCATCACTACTCCCAGGTTTCGGGCCTGATTGTTAGTTTTTAGTTGTAATAACTGAATCTGTGCATTGACTCTAGATCTATAGCTCTAGATCGTTCCTCTTTAGGTCCAAAAATCATGACTTTAGTTTTGTTTCTGTTCAACTGGAGAAAGTTTTGGCACATCCACACATTTATCTGTTCTAAGCATTTATTCAGTGATTGGATGAGGTCATAGGTCACCTGGTGACATCGTAATGTAGAGCTGTGTGTCATCCACATAGTTATGGTAGCTGATATTATTTCCTGTTATAATCTGAGCTAGTGGGAGAATATAGATATTGAATAAGAGGGGTCCGAGGACTGAAC